ACAGATGCATGCAGAGAAAGCTGTCGACCCACATAGCCACCACACGCGCACACACAGAGAAATCTATAATCAAGTGATTCATCCTGAATAATGTTATTCATGAGGAAACACTTCTAATGAGACTGAACATCCAACAGAGGCTCTATAAACCTCTTGTGTGTTCGCTTTCTTCAGTGAGTGTATGTGTATGTGTGCCTGAGGTTATTCTCATGCTGTGCTTATGTAGGAGTGATGTTTCTCACTGTGGATTTATGCTCATAAAGATTCAGGAAGAATTTATAGATTGCACATGGTGACACATAATTAAAGCTGTATTCATAGTGTTACAATTTCCTACATGAACGGTGAACTTTAATTTCATTAAACAAATAGAGTAACAGCATTTTTGTGAGGTGTGAGAGGAAAATAATATAGGAATACAATATCTTTCAGTTAAAACAACTCCACACTTAAGACACAAACTAGTATTGACGATACCGTCACCAAGCATCAACAAATTAATTCTACCTTGGACTGCATTGTTCCCTTTCTGGGTAATTCTCTGTGTTATTTCTGCTTCCTTTGGTTTCTGTAGGCTAATATGTTTAAGTGGATACCATTTAACCAAGAACAGTCGTGAAAGTTTGAAAGAGAAAGCAACTAAACCTCTCTAGAAATGAAAGAAACCTAGTTGCCTGATAACAGGATATAAGATGGAAGTTGGGACTGCATACACTGACAAGCACAACTATGTGGCTGGGATAGTGTGCAGGAACATATTTGCCGCATACAGAGTAGAAGTCCCCAAGTCCCGATGGGAGACTAAAGGTTGTTGAGAACAACAAGGATAAGGTTCCAGACAGACAAGCAGATGCTGGCTAGCCAACCTGATATAGTGGATGCTGATAATGAGTAGAAGAGTTGTGATTTGTAGTTGTTGATAGCAACATCAGGAAGAAGGAGCATGAGAAAATATAGAAACAGTGAAAGATACAAAGTCCAAAGTGATACCACTGGTAATAGCAGCATTAGGAGTTGTAACCCCCCAAACTCAAACAGTAGCTCCAGCAGACTCCAAATAAAATCAGATGTCATCAGATGCTGCGCAGATCCCCCAAACCGCCAGGCCTCTGAGAGGACCCAAGCCACCTGCTCACAAGCCTTCAAAGAGAAATGGTCCAGTCTTCCAACGTGACTCACAGCAGGAAGTAGTCAGTGCCCTGTCAGCCTTTGACAGTGTGTAATTCAGTCCACAGTTTGTTAGGTTGTTGTTTGCACACATCTTGCATTCAAGGGATCATCTCTGATCACCCACAAAACCTAGACATGGCCCAGCTGTTCATTCCTGGGAGCGTCTGCAGCTTCTTTTTTGGAATGGGAGGTAATGTTGGAGCACCAGCATAAACCTATACACAAAAATTCCCTCTTTGCGAGAGAGTTCACTCTTTAGTAAATTCAAGGAACATTGCACTGAGCTACTAGGTGCTTCTTGGTCAGTATGGATGTTCCCTTTCTAGTCATCCATAATTCCCCCATGCAGTGCATATAACCCCTCACACTGGATAAGCTGGCATAGTAGCATCGCATCAGCATTGCATACCATATGATCAGTCCTTGTCCATTCATGTTGACTGCCTTATTCCAGTAGCACACTTTTC